TTAGGATAGTATAAATGAACAAGTTGAAATAGTTCTTTCAAAGAACTATTAAATGAGAACACTGGTTTAAAATATCATGTTTTACAAACAGTAGCTGGGATCTAGCATCCAGCTCGTACTGTACCGCACATTTCCCCATGGACTGCTGAAATTCACTGAAGAACTCTAGCTGCTGGTCTGCATCCTCTAACTGTCCTTCGATTAATTGACATCGAATAAGTCCTAAAACCAAAGAGGATAGAAATAGTTCAGGGGTCACAGCAATTCTAGCATGTGCACTTCAAGCTAACATAACGAATATTAATAAAACACATTTTCCTCCAACCCAGTACTTAAAGAGTTTTTTTTTAAGTACTAATTTTTAAAAATCCAGACACTGAAAAAAAAAAAGAAAACAATATGGGTGGCTTTGGATGTATATAAAAACCATTTACTACAGAATTTATGAACTACCTCACAAAAATCTATTCTCCTGAGATAGCTGTCAAAATTTGTGAATAAATACATATTTTCTTCTCTAATGACAGGAACAGAAAGCAGATATGGATGTCCTACCAGTAACGGCCGAGATACTGGTCTCATTGAGGGTCATGGCTGTCTTATACCACCTCCATGCCTCTTTCACTTTGCCTTGGAAAATCATTTGGTATCCAAGTTCTGTAGCAATTTCTGGCTGATGCGGGGTTAGATTAAAAGCTCTATCTAAAAATGTTTGAATTTTTTGAAGAATGAGTGGATTACGTCCACACTGAAAAACAAACAAATAAAGAAACTTGAACAAGACTGGAATCAAACGTTACTATTTTTTTCCCTAAATATATTACTGGTATTTCTTAGGACTGAGAAAAAGGAATACAATTCTTTTTATAATAAAACATTGCTTATTACATAGATAATGCATCAAGAATGAGTTTATAACTTATAAAAATTTATATTCCCTTATAAATACCACTTTTACATAATTGCTACCTTGAAAAGTTTACATTCTAATGATACTATGTAACAGGAAGCTCATGGCTATTTTATTTTTTTGTTGGTCTTGGGGCTTGAACTCAGGGTCTGGGCTCTGTCCCTTGAGCTTCTGCTCAAGGCTAGTGCTCTACCACTTAAGCCACAGCACCACTTTTGGCTTCTCTGAGTAGTTTATTGGAGATGAGTTTCATAGACTTTGCTGCCTGGACTGGCTTTGAACTGTGATCCTCAGATTTCAGCCTCCTGAGTAGCTGGAATTACAGGCATGAGCCACCAGCGACCATTCTCATGGGTATTTTAGGGATAAGACAGGAAAATTATTGTTTAAAAGTTTTTCAATATGCATATATAGTTAGGTAAAATACTAGGACCAGGATCTATTTTCCCTTTAAACATGAAAAATCATGTTAAAAGAAAACATGTTAACATGTTAAAAGATCACGTCTTAAACTTCTTAAACATTTTTTTTAATTAGTGGCAATATTCCTTCTCTTTCTCCTTCCTTCCTCCCATCTTTTCTTTCTCTCTCCCTCTCTTTCTTTCTTTCCTCTCTCTTTCTTTTTCTTTCCTCTTTCTTTTTCTTTCTCTCTCTCTTTCTTTCTTTTCTTTTCTTTCCTCCCTTCCTCTCCTCCCCTTCTTTCTTTATTTCTTTCTTATTTTTGCTAGTCTTAGGGCTTAAACTCAGGGCCGGGTGCTGATTCAAGGCTAGTGCTTTATCACTTGAAGCACAGCTTCAGTTCCAGCTGGGGATAAAAATGTTATGGACTTTCCTGCCCCAGGTGGCTTTGACTCATGATCCTCAGATCTCAGCCTCCTGAGTACCTAGGATCATAGGCCTGAGGCACTGGTGCCAACCAAATGCATTACTTTTGAAGTGAACAACTTTTAAGTGCAACATGCTTATAAAAATGCACAAATAAATTTAAATAATTTCTGTAGGTTTACTAAATGAAAATCCTATGTGCAGCAAAAATTCCTCAGTTCAGACTTTTGCATTTTTTCCTGTAGATTTCATATAATTGGCAAGGTGGATGTAAATAAGAGAATTCAGTTTGCTTGTCTAGTTTAGCAGTTAAGACCATTAATTTTGTCTTTCAACTTTTTGAAAATAATTTGTGTACTATTTTACGTACATATTTTCCCCTTACTTCTGACAACCTCTCAAACCTCATTCTTTGTATCAGTTGTGAGATTCTGGTATACGTCCCTAATCTCTTTTGGATTACCTTCCTTTTATTGAGCACTTGGAATAAAAATACATTCCTTATAATTGTAAGACAAGTAAGATTCTAGCTTCTTTTTGCCACCACAATAGTGTACTAATTACTTTTAAACTTTTTTTCCAAATAATTTTATAAAACCAAACAAAGCAAAGAACAATCCTAGTCATAAATCCTGAGCTTTGATTGAAAGAAAATATTTTCTATTTCTTATGCCAGGTAGGTACTTCCCAGTCTGTGAAAATAAGTGTCGTTTCCTACATAAAATCTTCTTAAAGGCTTCTTTTTTTCTTTCTGGTGGTACTGCCTTTTGAATTCAAGGCCATGTGCTAGCCAGAAGGGTGCTGCCCTACTAATTGAGTCATACCCAGACCTTTTAAAATTATTTTTTGAATAATCTCATATTTATGCCCCAGCTAGGTAAGCCACGCTCCTCCTGTCTATACTTAGAGCTAGGATGACACGCCCAGCTTTTTACTGAAATGGAGAAAGGGGAGGTCTCATTGAACATTTTGCTTGTGTGGTCTCAAACAGTGAAACTGTTTCCTGGATAGCTCCTAGATAGCTAAGATTATGGGTATGAACCACCACGATCAACGGATGAATGACTTTTCAAACCAGAAACTACTTTCTCTTAACCAACTTTCTTAGGTTCATATGACATATTTAGATTCCTGTCATAGTTTTACCCTGGGCCATATGCTCTTTAAAACCTCACCCTTTGTGACTAATTTCAGACTCTAATCATCATCATCATCATCATCATCATCATCATCATCATCATCATCATCAGCGCTCTGACACATAGAAGGGACTCTTACAGTTCTGCTGAAGGCTAATGTAATCTTATAAAACAGTTGAGCGTTCTGTGGTTCCATGGTATTCAACGCATTTCCTAAGTGTTCCAGTTTAGTGGAAGCCTAAAACAAAAGTAATCCATATTAAATTTAAACTACAGTAAGAAAAAAGAATGCAATACATGCATATTGACACCAATATATGAATACTTTAAGAAACCTTTATTTATATGATATAGTTACTTATACTACACATGTGCATTTTTCATATCCAGCATCACTGAGTACGTTAATCTGTTGGAGTATACATTTTATATTAAAATATCACATATACTGCAGTTAATAACAAGGTATAAATTTATAGGGAAACTTTCACTATAGAGTATTTTTGTTTCATTAGCTGACACAAGAAGCTAACTTCTTTCTAAGGAGGCATTTCTGGTGACCAACTAAAGCTACTATGTTGAACTTCACGTTGGAGATAAAGCATGAGCTAGACTTTGGGTCTGAGCCAGCATCGTGGGAAAATAAAAGAGCTTTAACGCTCTGTGGTTTTGCAATGAAAAACATCTACTTAAGGGGATAAGGGTAAGTGGGTTAGTTGAGATACCATTTTGCTGTAGCTAGGTTCTTGTGAATTAGCTTTGTAGCACAGGCTGACCTCAAGCGCTTGGGCCTCCTGCCTCAGCCTCCTGCTCCCTGCTTTAGTTCACTTCTAACACAGAAAACTGAAGAAGACACTTACCTTCTCCATGTCCCCCTCCCTGCACAAATAATAAAGAGCTAGCATCCTCAGTGCTTCCACATTTTGACTATCTTGCAGCAGCAACCTAAAGGAAGCATGTGAATTAATTTCAGTTAATGCTGGCATAAAATTATTATTTCCTTTGATTGAAAGGCTTGTGAGAAATGTACTCATTACTTTGCTCATGTAACTATAATCCCTCTGTATAGCATTTTTGCAATGAAAAAAAGTACAAAAGGTAAAATAAAAAGTTTATGAATACAAAAAAAAAAAAAAAAAAAAAAAAAAAAAGAAAGGCTTGTGAGGTACATTTGCTTCCTCAAATTAATCTGAGTAAGCAAAAATGGCATCTGCATTATTTAAAGTTACCAACCTGTCTGGATGGAAATTATTTCAATTAAAAAACATACTTTAGTATCTGTGTGTGTGTGTGTGTGTGTGTGTGTGTGTGTGTGTGTGTGTGTGTGTGTGTGTGTGTGTGTGTGTGTGTGTGTGTGTGTGCGCGCGCGCGCGCACGCATCCCAGAGGCTTGAACTCAGGGCCTGAGTGCTGTCCCTGAGGTTTTTTTGCTCAGGTTAGTGCTCTACCATTTGAGTCACAGTTCTACTTCCAGCTTTTAGGTGATTAAGTGGAGATAAGAGTCTCATGTACTTTCCTGCCCAGACTGGCTTTGAACCAGTCAAGATTTGAGAATCTTGAGTAGCTAGGATTATAAGCATGAGCCACTAGTGACTGGCTTTATTTTGTTATCTTAAAGTAGCTGTACAAAGAAGTTGCCATTCAACAAAGCAGTTTATGAATACAGTGGACCTTGATCAATGTCATCTCTTTCATTATTCTCCCCCATCCATCCCACCCTTTCCTCAATTTTCTCAATTTTGTAAGATATGCACTGAATTTTATGACTACATTCTCTCCCCTCCCTTCTCTCCTCATTTGTCTACCCAGTTCCCCTCAACCCTATCTACTTCACAAGTTCCCGTTTCCTGGTGTTTACTTAGTTGTACTGTGAACCCTTCTAAGGAACCATGTGTTAAAAACATGAGTTGACTGGACCAGTCTCATTAAGTCCTGTGAAAACTGGAACTAAAGTGTTATCTAACCTTATACAATAATGTATTAAAAGTTTAAACACCTTGACCAGGCTGATTTATTAAACAATTCTAGGAATGCCATCATGGGTCAGATAAACCTATTAGTGCTATCCATACATTAAAACAGATTCTCACTTTCCGATCTGCCCTCAGTGGTGGGGCCACGGCCAGGATGCAAATTTTTATCAAAACCCTTACAGGGAAAACCATCACATTCAAGGCTGAACCCTCAAATACTATAGAAAACGTAAAGGCCAAGATCCAGGATAAGAAGGAATTCCTCCTGATCTTTGCTGGTAAGCAGCTGGAAGATGGATGTACTTTATTCGATTACAACATTCAAAAGGAGTCCACTCTTCATCTAGTATTGAGACTTCAGGGTGGTGCTAAGAAAAGGAAGAAGTGTTACACCACTCCCAAGAAGAACAAGCATAAGAGAAAGAAGGTTAAATTGGCTGTCCCAAAATACTATAAGGTGGATGAAAATGGCAAAATTAGTCATCTTCGTCAAGAGTGCCTTTCAGATGAATGCGGTGCTGGAGTTTAATGGCTAGACATGACTGTGGCAAGTGTTGTCTAACTTACTGTTTCAACAAGCCAGAAGACAAGTGATTGTGTATGAATAAAAGGCATAAACTAACTAAAAGAAAACAGATTCTCATGTCACCAAAATAGAAAACATAATGAAAGAAAAACACAGCAATAATCAGAAAAAATCCAAAATAAAACAAGTATAAATATTTCAATAAAAATTGAGCATTCCCATGTGAGTATGGTCACCTGTCAAAGCAGCTCCAAATAAGACACAAGTCTCTGCTACCTGAGCTGCTTTTCAATTAGGAAGATGGCTTGAAAATGGTCTCCCTTCTGCTTTTTCCCTTATTTTCTTGCCCACACATTGTTCTTAACACAGAAGAATGCTTTTTTGAAATATAATTTGGAACAAGGTACTCTTATACCCCAAACTGTAGTGCTTTCACATTAAAGGAGAGAAACCAAAATGTTTCACTGGTGAGAAGAGGCTGCCTGCCTGCTGGCACGTTCCCTTCATCTCTAATCTCAAAATCTGCTCATCTATCTTAATCCTTTTCTTTGCCTCCTGGGCTTTGTATTTGTGTTTCCTTCATTCTTGCTCTTCTTCTAGCTGTCTGCACAGTTTACTCCCTTACCTTCTCCTGCTCCTGACTCAAATGCCATCTCCTGGGTAAGACTCCTCTGACACCACTACAGATCATCCAATGTTCTGGCACTCCGACTCCTGCCTTATCTTTTTTCCACAGCACTTGCACCATCTTACTTACTGCACAGTTTCCTCACTCTTCAACCTCACCGCCTGGAGGACAGCCATATTCTCCTATTTGCCTACAGGAAAGTCTGTCTTGGCATTCATTTTCAAATTTCAATTTTGTTTCTTTAATTCCACGCTGCTTAGGAAAATCAGTTCTAGCTGATCTTAAAGATGAAACAATTCTACACTGCTTTAAGAAAATCTAATGACAAAAGAAAACCAGAAAAACAAATAAACCATAGACTCTTGTTTTCTAATCATTATATCCAGATCCAAAAAGTTTTAAGACATTTTTAAAAAGTTTAACCTTTGTGCAGTCTCAACTGTCTGGTCCCAGTCCTGCAAGGCTAGTTGTAATTTCATTTTCTTTTCAAAAGCAGGAAGGAAAGTGGGAAAGTTCACAATGATCTGGTTCACAGTCTCCAGAGCACCTGAGTAATTCTGGCGCACCTCAAGGCACTGTACCTAACGGAGACAAGGGGCATCTATTACAATCAGATGGTTCAATGTATCCACATCATGGCAGGTGTGCCATTAATGTGCAATACTTTCTGATTTTCCTGAAGAAAGCACATATCACTCCTATAACCAGAAAAAAAAAAAACAAGATTTTTTTAAAACTCACAACAACATTTTAAATAAATATACATACTTGGAATGGTTCTCCTGCAGTTTGAGAGTTGTCTCCTCCAAAATTCATGTTGAAACTTAATCCCTATTGCAGCAGTGCTAGGAGGTGGGGACTAAATAGGACATTTAGTGTTCATGCTTAGGACATGAAAAATTATAAAAAGGGCCTATGGCACTGAGTTTGGTCACTTACGCTTTTCTGCCAAGTGAGGAATAGCTCTTCTCCCCTCTGGAAGAGAGTGTCATCACACTCAGAGTAAATGTATTCACTTATTTATTTTGCTGAATATTTAAGAACAAAAGTTAAGGTGTTTCAAGTCATTAAGGATTAAGGACCCACCTTAAATGTTTTCACAACTAGAGACAGCTCTCATAATTCCCCATCCCTCAAAATATCAGTCAGACCATATTATTTCTCTGCTGAGAACTTTTCATTGGCTGCCTGTCTGTATGACTCAAGGCAAAGTCAATCAAAAGTCTTACAGAACAGACTAATTGTCTCATGGCCTTTTGGCCCACACTCTTCCTCTCTCCTCCAGTGTTCACTTCTACCCTCTTCATTCACTTCTCCTGGCCTTGGGTCCTCATTTCACCCTGTATGTGCCTGTAAGTTATCTTGTCTGTAATGCTTTCCTAGGGTACCTATCGGATTTTAACCATCTTCTCTCTTTGTTCCAAAGTCACCGACTATGTTTAAAAAGTTCTATCTGCAACTTCATGACTGGCTCTCCTTTGCCATCCTCTCTAGTTTTATGTATTTTCCATTGCATGATAACGTTACCATCTCATATACTACCTGATTTACTTACTTTGTTCATCATTCATCTCCTTCAGTAGAATATAACACAGGTTTTACTTTGCTCACTTCATCCCTGATATTTACAGAGACATCTTACACATAGTTGACAAGTAGTAAATGTTTGAGTCAGGAAAGTAACAAACACAAAACCCATCCTGGAAGCAGGCACTCTGGTAGGGAAGGCCTTTCTCTAGTGTGTCTGACGCAAATGCAGATCCCTTTGAGAGCTGCTAACACCATCATGAAAAGCATCAACATTTTTCAACTTTATGGTTTTGTTAGTTTTTTGAGTGTTCTGAGTAAAATTTAAAATATGATCTATTCACCTTTATTCCAACTCACCTTGCCCAGCAGAGCAAAAATATCATTTCCATCTTGTAATCCTTCCTCAAAACTCCGTAGTGCTTTTTTGGTATATGGTTCTTTTCCTTTCGTAATATCGAGCCATGCTTTCAAAACCTGCCCCTGAAGAAAGAAAAAGGCTCACTCAGATCAGTTCCCATTTCCCAGATCTTTTTTTTTTTATTAACAAAGGAGGGAACGTTAATGTCACTTCTGAAGTAATGACTAACAAAAAGGATATTTCCAAAGAATATCATGAACAATGAAATTCTGCATAATTAGATTGCTTTTAAACCTTTGGGGTATAATATCAGAAACAAAATCATGAATTTCAGCCTTTATTATTGGGTTCTATATAAATGTTAAGAAGTCTCTCAAATATCCATTAGTGCTTAAACCAATATTCTTCTCCAAGGTTTACTAGTAAATTATTATTAACCATGATTAACATGGACTTTGGTACACAAGTAAGACTATGTTACCTCTTTGTAGACACATGGTCCAAGTGAAACAGCACAATTCTTCATTCATATGAAACAGATACCTTGTTTCACACATTAAAGATCCAGATAACCGCTAGTAATTGTGCACAATGTTTTGTTATTGTGCTGGGATCTGAACTCAGGGCCTTGTACAGACAGGCAAGCACTCTACCACTGAGAACCTTCCTCTGGCCTGTCAGCTATCTTCTTTTTTTCTTTTCTTTTTTTATTTTATTTTATTTTTTTGGGTCCGGTCGTGGGGCCTGAACTCTAGGCCTGGGCGCTGTCCCTCAGCTCTTCAGCTCAAGGCTAGCGCTTTGCCACTTGAACCAAAGCGCCATTTCTGGCTTTTTTCTTTTTGCTTATGTGGTGCTGAGGAATTGAACCCAGGGCCTCAGGCATGCAAGGCAAGCGCTCTACCACTGAGCCACCTTCCCAGTCCCATGTCAGCTATCTTCTTATCCTCTCTGATCAAATGAAAAGTGAAAGGGCTTGAGAAATTAAAATTTAAACAGCTATGGATATTTACAATGCATCATAGGATTGAAAGAAAAATTATTTTTCTTTTCAAAGTGAAATAAGCAATGTGAGATGTGCAGAAAGAAAGAAAGAAAGAGAGAGAGAGAGAGAGAAAGAAAGAAAGAAAGAAAGGAAGAAAGGAAGGAAGGAAGGAAGGAAGAACAGAAAGGAAGAACAGGAAGGAAGAAAGGTAAGTCAGCCAGGCACAGTAGCCTAAGCCTGTACAAAGATCCTATCCCAATCAATAAAAAACAGGGTGAGCTGAGTGCCAGTGGTTCAATCCTGTAATCCTAGCTATTTTGGAGGCTGAGATTGAGGATTGAGAGTTTGAAGCCAACCCAGGCAAGAAAGTCTGTAACCCTTTTATCTTCAGTTAACCACAAAAAGCCAGAAGTGACACTGTGGCTCATGTGGTAGAGAGCTAGTCTTGAGCAAAAGATGCCAGGGAAAGTATCCAGGCCCTGAGTTCAAGCCCCAGGACCAGCACAAAAAACAAAAAAGAAACAACAACAACAACAAAACTGGGTGAGGTGGCGTAAGCCTATCATCCCAGCTATACAGAGGTCTGAGTCAATAGCCTGGGCACAAATGATTGAGACCATGTGAGAAAAATAACAAAAGCAAAAAGGGACTGGAGCATATAGCTCAAGAATCTACCTGTCAAATGCTAGGCTAAGAGTTCAAAATTCCAGTATTGCTTGCCCCTAAATTTTTCAATTAACTCATAAATCCACAGGAATTTCTCTCAGATTATATTTATCTCTCCGTATTTTACCTGAAAATGTAACAATCTTAATCCACATCTGCTCAGTAGATCACTTTTGCTATCTGAATGGGCTCAGTGATTGTGGACACATGGAAATTCCCAAGCTATATTTCTTATTGTGACCCTTTTCTTTATTAGTCTTCTTTTGCCAAAGGCCTATTTCCTATGATAATCTCATTTGGAGCTAATATGTCACCCCTTCTCAAAGGTAACTCTTTGTCTGGCTATTTTTCTACTTAGCTAAGCAAGTTCCGATTTCAGGGCTCAGAGATATCTTCGCTATGTGATATTTCAATAACTTTCCCTCTCTTTCTCTTATTGGCTAGTAAGTCCTGTGGGTGCTTAACAACTCTTATTTGTACCTCTTATACAATATTTAACAGCATCCCTCCAAACCTTCTGCTACATAGTACTATTTTTTTTCCTCCTTTTTCCCTCAAGCCAGTTCATCGCATAAACAATTATTAAGTTAAGCTTCTGGAATTTCCCTTTAATAATAGCACTCCCATAACTTATAAAAATGCCGGTGGTTTCTCAATAGCTATTAAGTACAAATATTTGTACTTAGTAGTCAGGACCCTGCAACTCATCCTAGCCTAACTCCCTTAAGCTTTTCTTCTACCATCTTCACCTACATATACTGTGCTCCCATCAGGTAGGAGGGTGAGAGTCCCCTCGGCCAGCAGGCTCATTTTCATATACCATTTCCCACCCAGGAGTATCCACTT